AGGTTAAAAATCGCCCCATTTTACTTAACAGCCGAAAAATGGCGCATGTCAAGGGTCTACCTTTACAAAAACATAAATAACATTTCGTAAATACATAAGTACGATACCCATACAATCCATAGGCGCCTGTCAGCCTTCCATCTGTGCACAAACTTATCTCGTGCCCTCATTGGTCATGTGCGCGTTCGTGTGTGTTGGAGGAGGGGCTCTGTAAGGAAGTCTGAAGGAAGGGGCAGATTTTTTTCGGCTTCGTACTTTCAAATTCTAGCGAACTCGAGCTGGTTTCTCCATTCTTACCTACCCTACCTTAAACATAACAATGCAGTGTGAATGCACTTAACTTACTATGGAGTTGTACAACTTTTTCCACCAGTGGCATGCTTCCAGTCATCCCAGTGAGTTGTCATATACATGGTTTTTAATGAAGGCAGGAAATCCAACCCTGCTGTTGTAATGTAGAGACAGCTCACCTTATTTACTGATGAAATAAAACAATTATGTTATACAATTTAGGCTTTTCATTGCACATTCTTTCATCTAACACATCTCAAAACTGATTAAATTCTGTCTGACACAGATTGAGACCAAGATTCTAATTGGCTTGATCGCCCCTAAATGACATTAACCCTGTTAACAGATGTTAGGGCCTTCAGACCTGAGTGTTACATGTGTGATTTAGATATAGAGGCTCTAGTATCAAATTATAATAAGTTAAACTCCTCTGTATTTAAAACAGGCTGAAAAACATCACAACTTGTATTTTTTGGAAGTACTTCTAGACACCAAATGTTTAAAATAACAATTGAAAAATGCATTCAGGGGGTTTCAAGAAACTGACACGGCTACCACATGTACACTCATTTGACATTTGACAAACTACAACTGGCTAAAACCGTAATACTTTGTCTTAGTTCATTTTGTTGTCTACTTTCATTTCCTTTAAAAAATAGGTCAACTCAGTATAAGGAACTATAATCAGTTAAACGGTTGTGTGAGGCGGTGTGTTTAACACTGAGGTGTATAGTGCCGGAATTATTTCATATGTTCTGAGCATAATAAAAATGCTCACAGGTAAATCATGGACTGGTAAATGGACTGTACTTATCCAGTCTTTATGACCCCTCAAAGAGCTTTACATACTTAAAGTCATCATTCATCAATTCACACCTCATTCACACAGAGCAATGTGCCCCTTTTTACTCAAGTAAGCTAACATTCATACAACACACTCACACACCGTCGGGAGCAACTTGCCCAAGACATCGACATGTTGACTGCACGGGGGCTGGGATCAAAACCCCCCGCACCCACAGTCACCCCAAGTTATATGAAATTATTTTTAGTATCTGTCATGAACATAAAATTACTGCATGTGCTTCTGTCATTAGGTATAATTTGCTATATTGTGACACTTTAAATGGAAGGTTGCCACTATGTGAGCTTTCCTTTGTAATGACAACTTACTTAGTGCAGGCCTGACTATCAAACTATTTAGCTACATGTGTTAACATTAAATGTAACTTATTTAACCACCATTATAATGGTATCATTTGGAGCTTTCATACAAATGTATGTCATTAATTAATGGACGAACAGCTTTACTTGTTGCAGAGGCTTTGTTCAGAGTCAGTGACAGGATTGCTCGTTGCATTACAGCTCGGATGCTATGACAATGACCTTTGTGCAAATGTAAATCTACCATTTTATTTTATTTGCAACCACCATCAAATAAACTATAATGTAAGATTATTGGACCAGATCTACAATTGACAACATCAAAAAGAGGGGGCCACGAGGCCTCAGAATTTGCAGAGGCCTTCAAAAGAAGTAACCTCTATGGGAACTCCAAACAGCTTCCCTTTAAGCCCTAGCTAAATAAAAACAACAACATTTGCACAAAGTTGGACGCTGTCCGGCCCGCTCCTCCCTACATGCAGATTACGCAGACTGCGTGGGGCCTCACCTCGGGGTGGGAGCCTCATCTTGCGGAGGGGGCCTCATCTTAAGCACAAATGTGGCGCAATTATGCACGCCACAGTTGAGTGACACAGACCCGCGGGGCCTCATGAAACAACTTTGCGTGGGGCACAAGTATAGCCTCCGACCTTGACATCCCCCTTCCCCCCTCACTCCCATTGCTCCTCCTAGCACTAGGGTGCAGATGCAGAATGTCACTGTGTGTGCTGTGTACTCTGCATGTGTGACCATTAAAGAGGGTTTCATCCCTCCGATTCTATCTAACGTGATCTTTTTGACAGCAAAAACAAAATAGATCTTTCTCCCAAAGTCCTCAGGATCAAACTGTGATACAAACAGGAACTTGTTGGTCTCTCATACTGCCTTTACCGCCTCTATATTTACCTGGTATTGTTTTGATATCCAGCTCTCCAGAAATGGTCTTCAAAGGGACTCCCAGATAAGAGTCCGGCATGCCGACAGAGCCTTTGAAACCCAACACTTTTATGTCATGTTGTTGGGGCGATTGTCCATCATCCTGACACTCCCATAAACATGCACACCAAATAGAGAAATGGATGTGATGATGAGCAACGTTATAACTCAAACCGATATGCATACAATTGTAGAATCAGAGAAAATGAGAAGTGTGTTATTAATATGTCAGGCTTGTACTAAGGTTGTAGCCTGCTACTGGATGAATGCTCTGCTTCTGGTCCTGATCCCTGTCATACAGCTTGAGGCAGATTAGAGAGAGGAGTCAGAGGTGTGTGTTTGCTGCTCACACACTAATTTAAAGACACGTGCCATCATTCCAATACATCAGGGGTTTCAAACATATGGCTGGTGGCCCAGAACCAGCCTGACAAGGGCTCCAATCTAGCCCACTAGATGACTTTGCAAAGTGTAAAAGTAAAGACATTTATTCGTGTACATACACGCTCTTCCTATGTACCAAATATCGATGCACTTGTGTAGCATAAGAGACAACTGTCTCTGTTGCAGAGTTAGTCTGTCTCATAACTGTAAGCATGGGCGGTGGGTACTGTAGGCTAGAGAAGGCTCAGCCTTCCAAAATATTTTTGTCACTGCATTCTGGTAAAATGTAAATATAATGTATGTGTCTTTGACATTAGCGCTGCTAAGCAGCTAGTGCCTGCGCAGGCATGTTTGTGTCAAGCGGCTTGTGATCTTGGTGTGATTGGCCACAGAGACAAGCCCCTCTGTGGCCAATCACATCACGATCCGACAGCAAAGCACGCCAATGACAAAGGAGCAAGTACAAACTTAGCTAGTTAGCTAGTGTACATTGGCGGTCGAAAATTGATATACGGAAATGTTTCAAGGCAAACATTAACCCTCCTGTTGTCTTCGGGTCAAATCTGACCGATTTACTACTTTCATCAGTCATAACTTTTGTTTTACATTCGATTGCATTACGGCTTTATGATATCCTTCACAGTAGACATTTGAACATATAAAATTGCTGATCACCACTTTCATTGCATTTTGGATGATTTAGTCAACTTTGGAACACCAATGGTGTTCCTGGTCAAAAATGACCGCCATAAAGAAAAGGAATTAGTAACCATCCGGATCAGATAAAACACACACACAAACACCCACCCACACACACACACACACACACACACACACACACACACACACACACACACACACACACACACACACACACACACACACACACACACACACACACACACACACTCCCCTACTACTCTATGTGTTCCACCCCCTTATGTGCCCCCCCCCCATGTGATTCACACCTGGCACTCACAAACACACACACACAGAACAATTTGACACATTTCCCACTCTTATGTGCCCATCCCCCCACATGGATCACACCTGGAACACGCAATACATGTTCCGTGTCTTTTCTTTCTATATTTACTGCAGTTTTTCATCTATACNTGTGTGTGTGTGTGTGTGTGTGGTCTGACTGTAACACCTGTGTGTGTGGTCTGACTGTAACACCTGTGTGTGTGGTCTGACTGTAACACCTGTGTTCCTCCCCCAGGTGTTATAGTTTTTAACTCTTTCTGTTTGTTTATACCTTGTTTTTAATGATGTTCCTCAGGTGTTCTTGGCATGTTCTGTCTCACTCTGTAAAGCTCTTTGGGCTGCGTCCAGCATGAAAGGTGCTAAATGAATTAAGTGTATTGTTATTATTATTCACACAGTTCATTGCATTCTCTGTGTGAATGAGTCCTTTCAGTTATTATGTGAAAGCTCTGTAAGTCCGTTTTAAATGTGCTGTATTGCTGTAACACCTGTGTTTCCCCCCAGGTGACGGACCAGTCCCACATCATGTTCACGAACTCGATCCATAACAACGAGTCTCAGGTGATCACCAGGAACTACGTTAACATCACCTTCAGCTGCAGATACCCCGTCCAGTACCTGGTGCAGCAGCCGGGGGGGGGCCACGGGGTGCACGTGCACCTCAGGTAGGGCTCACCTGGGGGGGATATTTAATGTGAATAGTTAGAGTTTTATTTTGTTGTTTTTTAACAGACATTTATAAAACAAGGCTTAAAAATGCCAAAAAATCAAAAACAATCAATTCAAAAAAAGGTGCAATTAAGTCAAACATTCCACAAAACAACCCAAAAGAAACAAAATAATTAAAAAATATGACTACAAAAACTAAATTAGCTAAATTAAAGATAGAAAATGAACCAAAAACGACAAAAAATTACAACAATTTTGTTTAACTATTAAATATGAATAGTTAGTCAAATATAACAAGATACAACTTTAACAGAAATAAATAAAACAAGGCCTGGTGGTGGAGGGGGCCTGGTGGTGGAGAGGGCCTGGAGAGGGCCTGGTGGTGGAGGGGGCCTGGTGGTGGAGAGGGCCTGGTGGTGGATGGGGCCTGGTGGTGGAGAGGGCCTGGTGGTGGAGAGGGCCTGGTGGTGGAGAGGGCCTGGTGGTGGAGAGGGCCAAAAATGAAACGGCAACAACCAATAATTACCTACAATTACCTTAAAGAAAAACAATCAGTGCAAAGAAAAAGAGGAAATGTATAAAAAATTACACAAAAAACCCAAAGAAAACAAGCACAATTACAAATAATTAAATACAATCACTACAAAAACTAAATGACAACTTATTGTACAATATTTTATTAACAAAAATAAATAAAACAAGGCTTATAATTTGCCAGAAATGAAACAGAACAACTAATAATTACCTACAAAAATTACCCAAAAAACCCCCACAAAATTACAAATAATTGAATAAAATGACTACAAAATCTCAAAAAGGCCAAACATTACAAAATGTCCACTAATTGTACAAAATGTGCTAAATAGAAGATTAAAAATGAAAAGAAAATGATAAAAGAAACACAAACAATAAAAAAAACTACACAAAACAACCTAAAAAAAACTACAAAAACATTTAAAAATAACCACTTATTGTACAGAATTAGCTCAATGAAAGATTGAAAATAAAAAGAAACAACAAAAGAAAGCACAAACAATTAAAAATCGTTACATGAAAACACAAAATGACCGATAATTGCTTGAATGACCCTGACGACCTGTTATTAT